CTGATGCTTTTAAAGCAAACATGTCTTTTTATATTTGTGCTAATAAATGGTAGTCCAGTCTAGACGTGACAAATGCATGGACCAGTTTTTCTGCATCATTTTTAGATAAGATTTAGATTTTATAAGTTTAGACTGAACTATTTCAATGGTTTATTATGTGGGTGTCCAAATACTTCTTTAAAACGTCTTCAGTTGATCCAAAATGCTGCTGCCAGAGTCTTAATTGGAGTTAGTGGGAGAGATCATATTTCTCCAGTTTTAGTTTTTCTCCACTGGCTCCCTGTCAAATCCAGAATAGAATTCAAAATCTTACTTCTAACCTACAAAGCTCTCAACAACCTAGCTCCATCTTATATTACAGATCTTATTGTTCCACATTTTCCTAACAGAGCACTTTGCTCTCAGACTGCAGATTTACTTGTGGTTCCTAGAGTTTCCAGAGGCAGAATGGGAGGAATATCTTTCAGTTACCAGGCTCCTCTCTTGTGGAACCAACTTCCATTTTCTGTCCGTGAAGCTGACACATTATCCAGTTTTAAAACTAGGCTTAAGACTCTCTTCCCCCCCCCCCCCCTTCCCCTTGTCCTGTCCAGCATTGAGACACTCAGAATTATTGTCTGAGTGTCAAGGTGATGCCCAACAGATATAATTTCCCAAGCACAGCATTATGGCTGGCTTTAATGCTCCACTTGCTATATAAATAAAATTTTATTAGAACTTCCTTGGGTTTGTTTCAGATGTAATGGACACAGGGATGAAAAACAAAGAAGTGAACAAATAAACAAAGACTCTCCTTTTTGCTAAATCCCGTAGTTAGGGATGGCTTGGGTTTCCTAAGCTGTCCCTTAGTTATGTTGCTATAGGCTTAGACTGCTGGAGCACAAACTGACCACATTTCTTCACTCTGCTACTGTCTTGACTTACTCTGCTCAAACTGTGTTCATCTGTCTCTCCTTCCTGTCCTCTCAAACCAGCTGGTCAAAGTAGATGGCCGCTTGTCCTAAGCCTGGTTCTGCTGGAGGTTCCTTCCTTTTAAAAGGGAGTTTTTCTTTCCACTGTTGCCATTGTGCCTGGTCTGGATGGGAGACTGCAACAAAGCCGAGATTCAACTTGTTTGCTGGATTCCTTAGATAAACTTTACTAATTGGCTTTTATGTGAATGTTCCTGTAAAGTGCCCTGAGACAACTTTGTTGTGATTTGGCGCTATATAAATAAACTGAATTGAATTGAATAGAGTTTTAAGTTTCTCAAATAGTCATGCTCCTTTGTTTTTTAAATTTAATTTCTTATGTTTATTTTTTCTTTCATTATTTTGTGGAATGTATTTTTGACAACCTACATGAGTTTGTATTTGTATCTTGTTCTGTTTTGTGATGTTAATAATATTCTAGGAAAAAAACCCTGATGAGCTGCATATCTGCAGGTGAGGGGCGTTTACCTTTGGGACAAATTGAGGTTGTCGATTGGTCAGTTGCTGACATGCCTACTGGATTGATTGACAGGTTACGTAGAGGAACTGACTCAGTGCACAAAAAAATAAACCCCGAGAGTTGCAGCAGCCAGCGCCGGGAGGAGCTGGGGCAGCCCAAGCTGGGGCTTGGGGTGACAGTGTAAGTAGGAGAAAACCAGATATTTTGCTTGTGCCCTAACTGTCCTGGGCCCTTAGGAGATCGTGTACCCCTGGGCACTTGCCCAGTTGCCCATATGGTTAATCCGGCCTTGGGCACCAGTTCAGCCACAATCAATCAATCATTCATTCATTTATTCATGAATGGATGGATGACTTTTTTATTTGTTCCTGTTTGTTTTTCTTCCAATAATAAGGGCCGTGTCCACACTAATTTATGGTGAAAAATGGAAGTGGAAATCAAGCTTGAACACATTCTTGGCATGTCACAGTAAATTGTACACACAATTTTATTAACTCATTGGCAAGAACAAGTGTGCATGTTTCTTCTGTCCTTACAGGTAGGTTTAATCATGAAACTACAGTTTATAATAATATACAGTATTTCCTAAAGCCAAAACTTGTAACTATTGGTGTAACTTAAAAACTGTATTTTATCATTATATCAACATTTTTTTTCTTGTTAATTTGGATTTATGTATGTCTTTTTTAATTTGTTTAGGTGTAATGCCAAGGAAAATCTGATTAATATATGAGTATTTCACTCCTTAACCTTTCTGCCAACAGAATGGTGCCTTGTGTTTTTGACAGCCTGAATATTCCCTTACAGCAATCTCAGGTCAGAAAACATGTCACCTGGATCATTGCACTTTCTCTGACATACACATGATATTATCCATTGCATCTTCCACTGTATTTTGAACCCCCCTTTGCAGGAGAAGTTCACTTTGATCATGCGGGACTTGTTGGGGATGCAGCAGCGTTTGTCTGTACAAACACCACAGTACGTAGGTTTGAACTTCTTGGTGCTGGTGCAGCCAGAGAGGGTCAGTTTCTCTGCCTTTTTCGCTTGGAACTTTGGACGGCATGTCTTTCCCTTTGGTGGCTGTATGTGAAAACACTAATTATTATTTTTAGGTCCTGATGAATGCTCAGTAATCTAGGTAGATAAATCTAACAAGGTTGAGTCAGGTCCTCTGGACGGATCCTTCTTTGTTGTTTTCTTTTATCCAAAATACTTCTTTAGTCAGAGGAGCTGCAACAAACTCAGTCTTATAAATAGCACGTTCTCATAGTGGATCAAACAGTTTGCTGGTGACAGCCAAAACCATTTGTTCACATATCCTGATGCATGCTCAGTAATCCAGATAGAAAAATCCAAAAATGTTCAATCTGGTCCTCTGGACATTAAAAAAACAAACAAAAAAACAACAACAAACAAACAAACAAAAAAACAAAACAAAAAAAATATAGAAACGTTTCGTCTCTCGTATGAGAGACGAAACGTTTCTATATTTTTTTGCTTTGTTTTATTTTATTTTATTTTTTTTAATGTGCAGAGGACCAGATTGAACATTTTTTGGATTAAGAAAGTTAAGTTTGGTCCTCTGGACCAGACTTAACTTTTTTGAATATTTGTTCACATGCAAACAGAGGACCATCTGCCTAACCATTGGTCATTAGTGCCCAACCATTGATCATTAGTGCATTGATTGTTAGTGCCAGAACCATTGATTGTTAGTGTCAGAACCATTGATTGTTAGTGCTAGAACCAATGATCATTAGTGCTGGAACCATTTGTTATGGCTGCTTGCTATTCACAGAGTTCACGGAGTGATACTAGCAATAACAGCATTGTAAGAAGGCAACAGTTGAACACTGTTTAATGCTTGGTGAGCTCTCTTCACAAAGACAGCTTCCTTTACTCTTCTCTCAAACCAATGTTCCTCTCTATCAAGGATGTGCACATCTTCATCACTGAAGGTGAAGAGGTCACTTTTTCCTGACTCATCCTTGTTAGATCATATCTTTAAGACTGAGCAACGTAGATTTGAATTGTGTTCTCACCTTAACACTCCTGAGTATGCTTTTCTGACATGGCTGCAGCAGGCACAGGCGGCGGTCTTTCCTCATCTCACATTTGTTGTTGTCGTTGTTGACACGTGTGGAGATGCCCAGGCCACAAGTTTTAGAGCAGGGGCTCCAGGGGGTGGTCTGGATCAAACAGTTCTTCTTCCAGCCTAAAGGAGGGACACTGTTAAGCTTTCAGTATTAAAGTTAAATGGTACTGTGTCAACAAGACCTTAACCCCTGAGTAAATATATGGACAGGGGTAGAACAAAACTTCTTAACACTTTGCTTTGAGTGTCCTGATGCATGCACATTTTGTTTTGAGTTTTGCTCATACTGAAGTAGGGTCCTGTGTGAAAGATAGAAATAATACCTTACCCATTGTTGTTAGCTTTCTGAATATGTCTAAGTTTGGAGAAACCAAGTTCAGTTCAAATGGACTGATGAGCTAACAGCTAGTCTTAAAAGTTAAAACCAAAGCAGCTTTATGCCATTTTAAAAACATCTCCAGTCTTCAGAACTTCATAGTGATTCATGTGAACACTATTTTAACTGTCACCAATTTTGAAATATTGACTTATTGCAGCCTTTCACTTTCTCTGGATGGCATTAATTTGGCCCCCAGTTGTAAATCATCTTCACTTCTGGCGAGCTGATGGACAGCAGCTCCCTCCGGCTTCTCTGCAGTCTTTTATCATCAAACTGACCCGTTTTTCGAACCGGACTAAAGCTGGTCCTCCTTCCAACCGAATTCGGTGTTCAGTGACTCAGAGAGCCGGACGGGACCGTCCAAAAAATATATTTTGGCCCAGGACCGATCGGCCGCTCCCCCCCATCGGTCACTCTGAGCGCACCCTGCCGGCCAGGTGACCCCTCGAGCTGGGGAGTCAACGCACGAAGGTCGGGTGTTTTTTCTCTCTCTCTCTGGACCTCAACAAACTCTTATCTGGTCCTTTGTGGTTCTACCTGGTTCCGACAAATATCGCCAGGTGGTATTTCGCTCGTTTTCTGCTGGACTGGCCCTCGTGGTGTCTCCATAGGTGTGGGGGAAGTGTACCTGTGACCCTCGAATTGGACCAGAACTGAACCGAGGTAGCTGTGGGGAATTCGTCTTCAACAGAGCCGGTCTCAGCTTCAGTGAGCAGCCCGTTACTTTTACCGAAGGACGATCCACCTCCGTGGAGTCGTTGTGTTCACCTAGAGGAGACGCTCCGGTGCTTTGAAGCACCGCCGGACTGGAGCAGAACCGCGCCGCCGGACTGGGCCGCTGGACCGGAGCAGAACCACGCCGCCAGACTGGGCCGCCGGACTGGAGCAGAACTGGGCCAGGGATATCTTCAGCCTCTTCGTCTCTCGTGCTTGGAGCGCCGGAGCCCAACTGGAGCAGAACCGGACCAGACCAGTTGTCGACTTCAGCCTCAGCCTCTCCGGTCAGTCTCGCTTTTCACCGGGGGTGCCCCGTGCTGTCGGGTGCTGAGAAGCGGAGGAGCAGCGTGGAGGAGCAGGGCTGCGTGGTGCTCGAGAGAAGTTCGGAGTTTGTATCGGAGCTGCTGCAGGCCTCCATCCAAACTCACCTGGATAATAATTAATTTTATTCTGGATCACGCTGTTGGCCCCTGTTGACCTGAAACGAGCTTGGATCATGCCTTTCACTTCAGGAGGATTTTCTGTCAGCTCGCTCTGCTATTTGCTGCAAATTATCTGTTTTTGTTTCGGCCTGTTGATTCTGGACCCAGGTTCTGTTTCCCATGGGAGCATCCATCCTTCAATCCATCCATCCATCCATCTTCACTGGGGGGCCGGAGCCCCCCTCAGCCCAACTCAAACTGCAGTTGGGCCAACTCGTCGGGTTTATTTGCCCATTTGAACTGTGACGTTTTATGGTCTGAAACTTTTCTGTATCATTCATATTACTGTCACTATTTTCAGATCTCAGATTATCTGGAGTCACTGAATCTTGTTAATACACCTGAATCTGTCCATCACTGCAACTTTCACTGTTTTTGGGTTCTGAATGATCACGTCTTCATTAATGTTTCTCATGGTTCGATTATGGGGGCTAATTGTCACACTGTTAACTCCTGTAATTACACATCAGTCACAAAAAACTCAAGAAAATGTCTGATAATAATGTTGTTACTGCTCTCAGGGATTCAGCCCAACCTTGGACCCCCCACTAATTATAGCACACCAAATGACTTTAAAAATGCCTCTGGGCTTCATTTTCTGCATGTAAACGCTCGTAGCCTTCTGAAAAAACTGGATGCTTTGAAAATCCTGGTCAGTTCTTCTGGGGCAGATGTTATCTTTATTTCTGAATCCTGGCTGAACAAATCTGTAATGAATAATGACGTGGCAATCAATGGATTTAACATCTACCGCTGTGATCGTCAAAAAAGGGGGGGTGGATTCATTATTTACATTAGAGATTCTCTGGTTTCTAGTCTTGTGTCTTCCAAAACAATTCCAAACCAGTTTGAAGCCTTATCTGTAAATATCACCTTGAATGGAGGCCAGATTTTAACTGTAGTCTGCTGCTATCGCCCCCTCCCACAGCATCACCTGAGGCATTAACTGCCATGATGGAATTTCTTGGTAATTTAAAATTCAAAGAGGTCTTTTTGGCTGGAGATCTCAACATTGATTGGTGTAAGTCGACCCCCCTCTGTGACAAATTCAAGGAATGTTGCTTGTCTCTTAATTTAACCCAAATGATCAATTCTCCCACTAGATTAAATAAAAAACATCCTGAAAATTCCTCCATCTTAGACCTGTTTCTAACTAATATGCCTCACAAATTCCCTGGTACAAGTGTATTTGCTGATCTTTTGAGTGATCACTGTGTGACAGCTGCTTTGAGAGATATTAAACTTCCACCTTCTAAGCCCAGATTAATTCAAAAAAGGGATTTGAAACGTTTTTGTGAACAGTCATTCCTCTGGGATCTGTCTCACTTTGACTGGCATCGTATTCTGTTAACTGATGACGTGAACTCCGCTTGGAACTATTTCCATAATAATTTCATTTATTTCCTGAACATACATGCTCCTTTTCGTCAGTTCAGAATAAAGGGACGAGACAGCCCCTGGTTTACTCCAGAGCTAGCTGACCTCCTGCACAGGAGAGA